GTCTGTCGTGCTGAGCAGCACTGTCTTTTTAAGTAACAGAGAAGGGGATTTGAAAGAGCGGATACCGACCTAGTCAGGGACCAGGAAGGAAACTCAGATGGGTGGGCTGGGGTTAAGTGGATGGAGAAGGGAGGGGAAGAAGAGAATGTATGCAAGCCAGGGACGAGCACAGTAGCCCAGGGGAAGGGTGCTGAGGACCTGAGGTGGGAAGAAAGGGTGAACAAGAGGATGGATACCAGAAAAACTCAGAACAGGAATTTCTGGACATGGTGGTACACAACTAAGGTCCCAGCACTCAAAGATGGAGTTCAAGACCTATCCCTGCTGTATGACAAGACTGTCTCAACAATGGAAAGCAGCAAAAAATGTGCAAAAAGAAAGAAAGGAAAGGAAAGGAATGAAAGAAATAATGGCAGCTGGTGGGACCACGCTATTCTGTGGAGGAGGAAGAATGGAGGACAGGGTTGAGCTTGAATGAATGGGTGGTGGCGTTTCTCGTGGAGTTGGTGTGGTATCTTGAATGTGAACGGCTCCCATAGGCTCCTATGTTTGCCTGCCTGGTCTCCAGTTGGTGTAAGTTGGGAAAGGATTAGTAGGGGTGGCCTTGTTGGAGGATGTGTGGGTTTGAGATTTCAAAAGTCCCTGGACATTCCTATCCAGGCTCTCTTTGCCTCCTGCTTCCGGATCAAGAGGTGAGCTCTCAGACACTGCTCCAGCCCTGTGCCTGCCTGCCTGCCACCATGCTTCCCACCATGATGGCCAAGACTCTAACCTTCTGAGACTCTAAGCCTTAAATGAACTCTTAATCCTATAATCTGTCTTGATCATGGTGTCTTATCACAGCAACAAAAAAAAAGTAACCAAGACAGGTGGTCAGTGACATCGGGGAGCAGGCTGAATGAGAAAGCCTGCAGGCTCACTGTGGGACATGCTGGGTTCTGGACTCCTCCAAGCCAAGTAAGAGAAGGGCAACTAGTGATTTTCATGTGCAGACAGAGGACACATGAGGGATCTCAGGGTCAGAGACCGAAATGAGGAGTCCAAGAACACATGAACGGGGAGAAAAGCCAAAGCAGTTCACGGGAACACTAGGAAGGCCATGTGTGAAAAAGAGGGGAGTGACCCCCAAGGTCTAATTGACACCCTCCAGTATCTATTGCTGTTCCTGTCTGCAAGCAACAGAAACCACATCGAATTGGCAGCGCTGGATGAAAAAGAACCCACAGGAGGCTTGCAGAGCAGATGGAGCAGCTGTACAGCCAGGCCCAGAGTGGACAGAAGGAAGGGGGCACCGAGACCACCTTACAGCTACCCACCATCCCACATGTCTCCACTCCAGACTAAAGTGCCTGGAAGAGTCATCTTATTTTCCCATCCTGTGTTGTAGTCCTTCATCCCAAAACGGTGGTGTTGTTATCATGCCATGGCATACCCCCGAAGACTCCAAGAGTTATGACGGAAGCATAACTGAACTGAAAAACAATGCTTACAGCTAGAGAGAAAGAGAAAGCAGGACATGGGCACCATCTGGAACCCTGGGAAGGGAGTTGGAAGAAAAGAGGGGTGTGTTGTGTCTAACTCCACACAGAGGGCCAGATCCAGCAAGATGAGGGGTTCAACTCTTCGATTTACTTGGGCAGGTAGAAAATCATTGATGAGTTTTATCCTAGCTGGTTCAGGGAACAGAAGAACTGAGAAAATTGTAGTGGATTGGCAAGCAAATGGGAAGGAAAGGTAGGTGGATTCTCTAGAGTGGGAGAGGAAAGGATAGTCAAGACAAGGAACTGGTTGTTCTGTGACCTGTCCTGCGATTTGATGATGCAGAATGTGAAGACATTTAGAGCCTTACGGGAAAGACCCATTGGAGGGCCAGGAGGAAAACAGAGAAAAGTGGCCGAGAGAGGAATCAAGGGTATAGTAAGAGTCCAGGGAGACAGGTCACAGGTCACCCCCAAAGCAGAGAAGAGGCACATTCTCCTTTAAGGTTGGACAGAGGTGACAGTAGTTGTGGCTTTAAGTAAGTGCTACACACACACACACACACACACACACACACACACACACACACACACACACAC